TGGAAACAGAAAATACTTGGGAAAGTGTCTAATAAAATGCATCTAACAGGTGATGTTCTCGTTCAGAAGACAATGGGCAAACGTCATGTCCTCCCAAACCGATTTACAAAGTCACTGTAATCCTTACCATATTCCAGCAGAGTTTTTCGTGTAAATGGACAAACGGATTGTGAAACGTATGAGGATATGCAAAGGACCAGAATGAGCCAAAGAATCTTAATGAAGAACAAATGTGAAGGCTGGCGACAGGCGGACGCGTCATAAGGCTGCAATACTGAAGACCAGGTGGCAGGGTAAAAAGACAGACAAGAGGAGGCAACAGAACCGAACGGAGAACCCAGAAGCTGGACTGCCCAGGAACAGCCGGGCGGGTGGCAAAGGCCCCGGGACACTCCATGGGAAAGGGCTGGTCTCTCAAAAGATGGGCCCAATAGATGGGCCAACCGCACGTTCAACAGAGAAAAAAACAACCTTTCTGAGAATTTCAAGTGAGATGTAACTGACACGTAGCATTAGTTTGAGGCATACAACGTAACGACTGGGTGTTTGCCTATGTGGCAAGATGACCACCAGTGCAAATCCAGGTAACATCTGGGGGGAAACGAACCTGACACCTAGCACCTGTCACACCCAGACATCAATCCGTAAAGGGTGAGACAATAAAGCAATCAGAAGAGGACAGCTAACTATCGCCATGACTTTGGTAGCAACAACTGTGTCCATCCAGGTCACGAAGCCTCAGACAGCGCCGACACAACGGTCAGAGAATCCGCAAGCCAGTCCGCACTCACACTAGGAGCTGCTCCTCGTCAACGGACACGAGAGAGGGGAAGCCAGCCGCAGACCAGAGCTGTGCACACACGGCTCCAACGAGAGATCTGTGGTCGGAATACGGACAGAACCCCAGGAGAGAAGGGCTAGCAGCCTGTAAACCCCCGCACGGGGAGGGCCCACCCTGCTGAGCACCAGCGGCACGCCCACAGCCCACCAGAGCATGACTGAAGCCGGAGCCACAGGGTCCTGGTGCAGACCCAGGGGCGCCCACGGGGCGGGTGTCCGAAAAACAGCCTGCAGTCCCACTGACGCTGGGCAGGGTGCACATCCTCTGCCGGCCAGCAACCACACCCTGGCATGCCCGACGCAAAGGAAGCCACCTGCCTGCCCCCCAGCCGGGACCTCCACCCACCCGGCCCCCCGTGAGGACCACCACCCCACTCAGGGATCTTTCAAGGGAGGGACATCACCACTATCAAACTATGCGCTCTGATCCCCAAGGTGGTCAGTAAGACACCTGTGGCCTGCGTCCTCCTCTCAGAAAACACTGCACTCTGGCATCTGGGATGGGGAACAGGATATAGAAAGAAGAGTTAAGGGAAGCTTCTACTTTCATTTGTTTTTTTAATCTCTTGCTAAAAGTTAGCTTTTACTGCTGAGGTTCTATAAATAACAAAATTCTATAACCATACTGTGGAATATCAGGGGCACACTGGAAATAGCTCATTTCAAATAGGAAAATGGTTTGTGTTCACCCAGTTCCGGAAGCCAATTTTCAATTGCTTAAAATAGTCATGGTATTTTACCAAGGTGATTACACTCTCAGCTATCAGTAACAATTAAACCCTTAGACTAGAGCCGCTTAATAAGGTCTCAAAATAAAACCGCACACTCCAAGCACTGTACGTGGAAATGTCAAGCATACAAACAGGGCCCTCGACGGGACACAGGCGCCCAGAGCCCAGCCAGCAGGCCTGCAGTCGGCCTGGCACAGAGCCGCGGCGGGGGCAGGGGCGCGGTACACACAGCTCTGCCCCACGGAGGTGGGTCCCTCCTCAGCAAGGACAGGGGAAGACGAGTGACCAAACTCCCTCGAGCCCCAAGAACGGCCACCTTGGAGGCGCCCTGAGGAGGAAGCACCTGAACAGGAGCAGGCCCGGCTGGTGTCTGACCGACAGGCCTCGGAGCTCGCGGGCTCACTGCGAGCGTGGACACACGGTGGGCGTGCACCTGGCACCCCCGCGCACATAGACAAGCCTGATGAACGACTTCATCACCCCACTGGCTGGCGAGCCAGGCCCCTGCGAGCCGGACCCAGGGCGGCGCGGGAGACTGCTATCGACCCATCGGGAATGTGCCTTCGAGCAACGGTCAACGCATCAGTCAGCGCCAGGCAATCAATACCCACTCTCTCCCGAACTCAGCAAGGCCCGTGAGCGCCGCAGGTCAGCATGGGGACGGAATGAGGCCGGGAAGGGCCATCGACTTCCAACCTGCTGAGACAGGGAGAATGGAAATTTCCTGCCTTGGGACCCAGACAGTCAGCTTGCAGGACAGAAAATGCCCGACAAGACAACCAGGCCAAAACCTCACAAAGGTGGGGCACAGTCTGGGCACGGAGGGCCATGGGGTCTGCGGGTGGGGGTCACACCCACCAGCTCCCGTCGCGAGGCGCGGGTTTGACAGGGATCTCCCACGGGGATTCTAACCGCTAGAACCCAAGTGACCTCGGCCAACAGAGAGGGCTCGCAGCGGCTGGCCCCCCGGTGTGGGGCTCGCTCGCACACCCACTGAAACGGAGGCTGCGCTGTGCTGACAGCCAACGGGCAGATCTTCCCAGAGGGACTCACTCAGCATGAACGCAGGACCCACTGGCCCCGTGCACAGAAGCTGCTTCTCTGCACTTGAATCCCTCCCCTGCCACACAGTGAGCACACCTGCATGACCTACAGGAGATCTGAGAAGGGCAACACTTCGTGTAAGGGGACTCAACGGTTCCTGCGGCACACGGCGCTGTCACCGAGTCACGGCACGGGGTGACCCAGAGCCTCCCAGGAGTGGCGGGCACGCACCACATCTGTGGCTGGTGTTTTTCCCTCTATGATGGATCTTACAAGTGAAGGCTGTCCCTTCTGACCATGTCCACCGATTTCGCCACCCCAGCCCCTGCCCCAGAACCACCAATCCAGCACCCGTGACTTCAGCGTTTTCAGACTCCACATGGGAAACCATGCAGTATGTGTGCTTCTGACTTATTTCACTTGGCACAATGCCCTCCAGGTCCCCCCACGTTGTGACAAATGGCAGGATCTCCTTCTTTTTCATAGCTGAGCGATATTCCACTGTGCGCCTACGCCCTGTCTTCTCTGCCCGCCCCCCCCACCCCGCTGCCAGGCCCCTGGGCTGCTGTGAACAATGCCGCCTGAGAACATGGGGTGCGCGCACCTGTTCCACACGCAGATTCCGTCTCCTGTGGGTAAAAGCCCAAGGTGGGCTTGCCGGATGGTGCGGTGATCCCAGGCTTCAATCCCTCGGGGACCTCCATCCTGTCTCCTCCTTCCGTGGCTTTCACAGGCCCCGCGATCACTGTCCACACGGGAGCCCGTCGGGCTGGCCCATGAGGCTGCTTCAGCGCACCACACCCCTGCTTGTTCTGAAACGGGGACCCAGAGGGACTGAGCGCCTCCCCAAGGTCACAGAGGAAGCTCCCCCTGCTCGTCTCTGCAGGAAAGCCCGAGCTTCCCCCGTCAGGGACTGCAGCCTGGCCTCACCCCCACTTACAGACGTCCCACGCCCCGGCCACACGCAGCTCCTCCATCCAAGCCATGGACATGCCCTCCGGGGCAGGCGTGCCGTCTGCCTCTTGTTCCCGCTGCCCCCACCCCCACCGCCTGCGGTCTGGACCCACACCAGCAGCACTGACAGCACCTTCGTGCCCACTCCCCCAAATCCCACACATGACTTTCACAAACTGAGTGCTCAGGCCCCAGCTCAGCCATGGGGGTGGCGCATGAGGGCATTTCACATGACTCCCCCGCAGGGATCACCTACAGAGCCAGGAGGCCGGGGGCAGCACCAGGGGCCTGTGTGCAGAGGTCGGCCAAGCCTGACGTGGGAAGCCCCTGGACCCAGGGCCCTGAGTGATGCCAAGGCTCTTAAGCGACAACACGGCAAGGAATGTGCCGGAGAAGCCATGAAATGGCAGGCTTTTCGTAGCTGAAATATGACCTGTCCCCTCAAAGCTTCATAAGCAGGAGGTCCCAGAGGCCAAGAGCATGAGGCACAACTCCAGGCATCCCCCAGGTGGACCATCGATCCCTGGGATGGGCCCACTCGGTCCACACAGTGTCGGGTTCGGAGCAGACAAGAGGTGTCTTTGCCCAGCAAGCTAGACACCCCACATCTGTGCCTGGAGAGCGTTTAGGGACAGAATCAGCCTCTCTCTTCCTGTCTTCTGAAACTTCAGCACTCAAGGGAATGTTTAAGTAACACGCTCCCACAGAAAACCTTAATTTGTGTTCCAGCGGACTCTGTCGAGCCAGACATCGGAAACTCGTCAGGCACAGGACGATTAGAGAGAGCCCGGCCCCACCCACGAGGCTGGGAACAAGAACATTCTGCCCAGGGTATCTGTACCCCACAGACAGTTCTCATTCCAAACCACGGGTCACAGACGTACCACCGTTTACCCTGTGCTCACAGGTCACTGAAGGAAGAGAAGGCTGCCCCCGCCCACAACCCAGGGCAGGATGGACCCTAACTGCAAGAGGGAGCTCAGGTCAGCACAGCCCCCAGCCCTGCCCCTCGCCAGGAGCACTGGGTCACTGGACGGCCATCCAGAAGGGCCCACACCTGGGCCCTCTGAGTCCCAAAGGGACCACCGGGGTTTGGGGAAGTCTCTGTTGTGACTCAAGAACCCCGCGAGCATCCCAGGATAAAAGCACAGCCTGAGAAAGCCGCCACGAGTCTGCTTTTGATGCAAGGAAGCGGACGCTCTTCCGTGGGGGGTAGGGGGGAACACCAGGCAACTCCACACAAGCCTGACCGGCCAACCACATAAACCACTGTGGTTAAGTGCCCTTCGTTTGGTAGCGATCTTGTCAACCATGGGTGCCTGGGGACCAGACACTCCAGCTGGACGTGGCAGGGATGGGCTGGTGGCTGCTGGCCGGGACAGCAGGCCTCCCGAGCAGGGCCAGCCTGGGCGCCCCCGCCATGCCCCGTACCTTCGTCAGCAGCAGGACCCGCTTCTGGAGTCTCCGCGCCAGGGCCTCCTGCGTCTCCCGCTTCTTCCTCTCCTCCAGCAGCTGGCTGCTGACCTGGCGGACCTCCTCCTGAAGCTGCTGCAGGGCCTTCTCCAGCCCGCGGGCACTGCACGAGAAAGGAGAAAGGGCAGAGCGGTGAGGCTGGGCCCGCGGACGCCACCCCAGCCGTGGGCCCCCCAGGACCAGGACATGCTCGTCACGCAGGTCCCGAAATAGAGCCGCACGTGCAAGCGGCACGCTGCCATTTCCTCACTGGTGAATAGCTACTTAGAGCTTTTCAGGAGTGTCTGGATTTCAAAGAGACACCCAGGGTGATCCCAGAACACGGCAGGCGGCGGGGGAGGGGGGAGCTCAACCCCACACACAATGGGAAAAATTGTCAGCAACACAGCGCTTCGGGAGAAAGCACTTCTGAATGGGCTAAATTACCAATGAGCACTTCCATCCGGATCACACCAGCCAGATGTGCAGTTGGGCTGGGGGAGCCCCCACCTCCCTGAGCTGGAGCCCGCGCCCCCCGCACGGCCCAGTCGGCCGCCAGCAGGAACTCTGACACCCCGGTGGGCCGGGGCACCCCTCGGTGGCTGCTCACGACAGGCCACACCCCCGGCACAGCGACCTTCCCTGCGGGTCCCGCGTGGGCCAGCCCCCTCCAGGTTGACCCTTCAGAGGGCCGGCCCTGCCCTCCCGACCGCCCACGGGCTAACACCCAACTCCCTAGCATGGCCCTGAAGCAGCTTCAGAGCCTGGTCTTTGCCCCTCTTTCCCCCCAAATGCCCTTAGTCCCTCAGTCCTGCCTGGGGCCGCCCTCTGCTTCTGAAGTGCTCCTGAACAGCCAATGGCAGCCAGTGCCCGGCATGAGCAGGAAGAGCCTCTGACTCCCAAGACCACACAGCCTCACGATTCTACACCCGGGGTGGCCGTCCCCAGGGCCTGATGGAGGGAACGATGACCAGGGGAGCCCCCCGGGAAGAGAGCTCTGCAGAAAGGGAGGCGTACTGGGAAAGGACCCTCAGTAAGGAACTAAACCCTCAGGGCGGGGAAGGCACCTCTTCCCAAAGGAAATCCGTACAATCTCAAAAGCCCCGGGAAGCAGAGTATCATTGGGACTGTGCCATCAGGGGACCATGGAGCGCTCACAGAGGTGGGCGGCGGGACCGCGCCGGGCTCGGGCTGAGGGCCGCGGAGGGCACCCAGGGGCTCAGCCACACCTGGCCTCCGACCGCAGCCTTTCGGCTTCGACCGCTCGATCCGGAGAAAACCTTCATCTGCAGGGACGCGGACGATGCTCATTTCTCCTCTCCCACAACTGAGCATGGGGTCTTGTTATTTAATTTACAGGTGAAGGTGAACCACACACTGAGAGAGCGGAACAGGCTGGGCCCCCGGCTCTCACTTGCTTTTGGCCGTCCGAGGTGTGACCCAGCTGCACACCTGACCGACCACACCTGCCCCCTCCGGGTGCTCCACGACCAGACCCGTAAAAACAGGCGCCCACGTTCACTTGCAACAGGCCTATTAAGAGGTTATCTTGAGCTTTCACTCCAGCTAAACTCTTCATAGACCGACCTGACAATCAAGCACTGCGACAGCAACGGCAGAATCACTGAACTCAGGTGGGCGGCTCGCGAGGGCCTGGAATCCATGCTCCAACACGGGAGGCGAATGCGAATGGCCCCGTTCCCTCGTCTGTGCACGCCAGGGCAAGACCACGGCCAGCACGCCGTCCAAGCAAGCTGCTCAGAAGCTGCCCTGAGCACCGGCTTGCTGGGGACAGCCTTGGGGGAGTCTGCCAAGCCCCCCACCCCGCCGTGTGGCAGCGTGATGCCCTCACAGCCATGTGGGGGTCAGGCGGGAGACCACCCCCCAAGAGCAGGTGGCAGCCGGGGGGCAAGCCGGGGCACAGGACGCCTGTATCTTCATCAGCTGGCTGCCAGCTCACCGTGCAGGCCCTTAAAGCACCAGCGGGCCTCAGCCCCCCGGTGTCCTACCAGAGCCCACAGCCCCATCCTGACGTGTCCTAGAAACAAGCCTGTCAACTCAGAGGCAGCACCCCCGTGCGTCTGGCGGGCCCCACGGAAAGGTGACGGGGCCTTTCATGGCTTTGGGGCTGAGCCCAGGTTAGCAAAGCCCTCGGGCCCAGGTAGAAAGAACACCTGCTTCTCCCAGTGGTAAGATGCTTCCCAGGAAACCAGGAAGGGAAGGAGTAACACCAGAGGACAGGCGACCCTACAGGGCCAGCTCGGGGCGGGCAGCCCTGCCCACAGCCATGAGATGAGCTCCCCCCTCAGGGCTGTCAGCACCGCACCCCAAGGCCTGCCCTGAGGCCTGACACGTGGTCTGCGCTCAACTGTTCCAAAGAAGAACGAAGGTAAAATCCCCCCGAGGGTACGACAGGGAGCACCACCAAACGCTCCTTGGAGGCTTGCCCAGCACCATCAGTGGCCAGAGGCTCCCCCAGCAACAAGCTCTGTGGGCCCTGCACAAACCCAGGGAACGAGAGGCCCCGGCCAACCTCGTGGGGCTGCAGGCCGGCGGGGCGAGAGGAGGTGACACACAGGGCTGTCGCCGCCTGTCAAGCCATCGCCGAGCCAGAACGACAAAGCCCTGACATCACGGAACAGCCGCCGCAAGAAGCAGCTGTTCCCGGAGCTGTGGGCGCCGCTGAACCAGCGAGTCCGACCTCCACGGGGGCCCTGCTGGTGCAGCCTCCCCCAGCGCCCCCGCCGCAAAGCAGAGTGTGGGGAGGGGACTCGGGTCCATGCACACAACTCAGCCACTACCATGAGCACAGGACGACCGGGCAGCAAACACACACAGGCGTGACTGGCACGTGGGGGAACGTCCAGGCACAGGCGTGCAGGGCAGGGCGTGGGGGCCGAGGGCACGGCTCCGTCCCACGGGAAGGGAGCAGGGGAGAGGGACCCCAACGTGGACAAGGAGGGGGCTCGAGGCAAAGGGCGTTTGAGCAGATGAGCAAATGGGAGACCACCCTCCCCATTTAGCCACCCACCCAGCTGCAAAGGAAAGCAAAGCAAAGCAGGGCTGGGGAGGAGGAGCCAGGAGGGGCTCGCTTCTGGATACAAACTCCACGGGGACAGTGAAACGGCTGGCTGCACAGTCAGGCGGCCGGGCCCATGCGGGGATCCTGGCCTAGCAGGACAGAGGGTGAGGAAGAGCGAGGCCCTCAGGAACCAAGAAGGCCCAGCCTCCCACAGGAGCACGGTTCTCTGACGTTTCCACGGATCCAGGCCAAAGTGCGCCAGAAGAGTTGTTCAAACCACCAGGCAACAGATGGCCCTGCCCGCTTCCCCACATGCCGAGGGGCAGAAAGGGACCCTATGTGCGCACCGAGCCCAGGGCCCTGACCCACGACACCGGTGCCTGGATGGCCAACTCTTCCTGCCAGCATGTCTTCTCTGGTGAACCTCAGCCTTTCTGGGGAAGCAAAGAAGAAAAACTCATAAAACATTAAACCGCTAGTTCCAAGAGTAAGCTGAACTCTGGGGTCACTGGCATTTCCGCAAGCCTTTGGGAGTCCAAAACAAAGCGCTTAGTGCTTGAAGGAGAAGTCGGCATGCCCATCGATCAATGCCTTTTTAAGCTGACGTCTGATGAAGGAGACGCGGTCTGAGCTTGAGAACCATCTTAACCTGCGGCCCCTTAACGTCATCCTCGCAGAAAAGTCCCCGCCTGAGAACATCTACTTTCAAGGAACAGAGGACACAGCTCACTCTAAAGTGGCAGGAGACATTTTAATGACCTTCTTGGAGACACGGCAGATGCAGGCTCAGGCCCTGCATGACCTCTGCACAACCACCCCCACCCCCAGCTGTCTGTGTTCTCCCAGAGAAGAGCATCGGCCACCCCCACCCCCCATGTGCAGAGGCCCAGGGACCGGCCACCGCCTCTGGGAAGGACCCGGACAGGGCGGTACTGTGATGCAGGAAGGACAGTCATCCCCTGGAGCTCTGCACCTGGTGTGGGACCAGGGCCTCGCGCCAAGTCCCGCCTGGCTCGTAAACACGGAGTGCGCAAACGCCATTGCCAGACTCGAGCTCAAAACGACGACTCCGAGCCGAGCAAACCTTTAACCAGTGCACTCGGACAAGGTGTTGGCACGTAGCGCGGGATTATGCTGACCACTGCCCAAGAACGTTAACTGCACGGCACAAGCTAACCCACAGGGGTCTCCAACAGGGGAAGGGACAAATAGGGCAACACATGCACACTGACTTCTAGCAAGTACACTTCTGTGCAAAACTAAAAAAACATTAACAGAATTTTATTCACACTTTTGCAAAATCCCTCAAGCGTCTTCCTTAGGGCTCTCAGAAATGTAGCTCAAACCGCTAACTTCTCCAATTTAACACATGGGAAAAATCTGGCCCCCAGCAGCTCACTCACTCACAGGAGGGCCTGTGCACCCCACAGGGCCACTGCCCAGGCCAAACCACCCTCAAGCAGGTGACCCCGTTCTCTGTCTAGGGTTTTTGGGCTCCCAGGCTGAGTCAGGATGGATGGACACACACAGGTCTAGCCCCAGACAGCACAGGCAAGCTCTTGGCTCCATCGAGGCTCAGCAGGGAATGTTGAAAGGTTGAACATTCTAGAAGTCTGTCCAGCAGAAAGAACGGGCAAGCCGTAGAATGGACAGATCAGGGCTAAGGGCCAAGGAGTGGACAGCAGGTCAGAACTAGCTGATCCGACACAGGGAGGTGTAACTCGTGCAGGTCAGGTGCTGCTCCTGGGCACAGGACACCTGCCCTGTGTGACACTAGGCTTGGAGGACACGGCCAGACTCTCAGCTGATATGGGGTCACCAGCAGCTGGATGGCTCAGGGCTGCCAGGATGCAGGGCAGGAGGACACCCAGCCAGAGGGATAGGGAGGGTGCACAGAGCCCTGGAGGGGCCAAACTCTAGCCAACCCAGAGCACAGCAAGGGGGCAGTGTGGGGGCAAAGGATGGGGGAGACCCCACCACCTGGGTGAGGAGGGCCTGGTGAGGACCAGGCACAGAGAAGGGGGCAAGGCAGCTGGCCTCCAGGATCAAGGGGCCGTGCAGGCTTCAGGGGATCTGAGTGACAGGGCTTCTCAGAGCCATCC